AGCTCCTGGCTCCTGGCTTCGGATCTGCACAGCTCTGGCGTTGCAGCCATCTGGGGAGTAAACCAGCGGATGGAAGACCTCTCTCTCTCTCTGCCTCTGCCTCTCTGTAACTCTGCCTTTCAAATAAATTAATAAATCTTTTAAAAAAGATAAGTTTGCTGATTTATTTATTTTAAATGCATACCAAACTCCTGGAATATATCTTTTTCCTGTTTTTGTTTTGTGTTATTTATTTATTTGAAAGACAGAGTAACAAAAGGGGAGGGAGAAAGAAATAAATCTTGCATGAACTAGTTAACGCCCCAAAAGCCAGGACTACAAAAGGACTACAAAAGACAGAGCTGGGCCAGGCTGAAGCTAGGAACCAGGAACTCAATCTATTTGGGTTGAAAAATTTTTTAAGTCCATACACTTGAGAAGTCTTCAAAAAGTTCATGAAGATGAGTATTATGAAAAAACTATGAATGCAGTTACATTTTTTCACCAAAATAAACTTGGCTTTTAATTTCATTTTTCCATGAATTTTTTGATGTACATAATATGTAACGGAGATTATGCATGTTCTGCAAAGCCTAAAATATTTACTATATAGCCCTTTACAGAAAAAAAAATTGACCTGTTCCATAGGCCTTAAGCAATTTCAGGGTAAGGGCTCTTTAATTTTACCATATGCCTTATTCCTAACATAATGCCTAGAACATAATAAGCACTCAGATGCTTGTTGAATTAAAGAATTAGTGAGTCTAACCAGTATTTCTTAAAATATACTTGATCATAGAATCAAAATACAACACTAGTTTGTCTCTGAAATGGCACCCGAAATGTACCCCATTGGGATAAGCTTTCCCTGGCCCTGGATGGAAACTTGGAGAGAGCAAATGACTGTTCTGCTCACTTCATCAAGAATACACATAAGATCCTGCTAAGTCACAAAACAAATATTGATTCAGTAGTCAGGATGTATTGAGTCCAAGATAGTAATCAAAATTTTAGTGTCTTTTTTCAAAGTTCTCCCTTACCTATGCTAAGGGCTGTAGATGGTGGCTACCTGCCTTTGGACAAGGATTGATAGATTTCTTTATCCAACATTCAGCTCCTATTTGGACCCTCACAAGGAAGGAAGCAGAAACAGGGAAAAGAGATTAGGGGATCAATCATTTCTTCCTTGGTGGGAAGGCTTCCCACTTCCTTGATATCTGGCTCTCCTGTGGTTTCTCTAAAGACCCCTATCATCAACAACTTCTTTCCTGTAATTTAGGAGCCCTGAGTTGATACACTTCTATTTATGTTAGTAGTCTTCAGCTCCTTCCTCAGCCATTAAGACTTCAGCAGTTCTGTTCAGCTTCCTGTTGCTGGGATCCTTCCACTCCTCTGGGTAGCTCTGTTAGATAGGATCCAAGATGGTTCCACCATGCTTCTCTCTTTTGCATGGTCCTCATTTTGGTTTCCAGGAAATTCTCAACCACCCCGTGTCCTGACAAACTGAAAATTTAGGCCAACTTCAATCCTGTCCTCCTGCCAAGGGCCACATTAACTTTCTCGGAATGGAGTACAGCTCTAATTCTCTTCCTATCTACAGCAGGGAATAATAGTCAAGCTTTCTCAATAGTCTGGTGAAATGCACTGTCACTAGGCTTGAAGTGAAGAAGGTAGTGTCCCCAAACCCCATCACTCCTATGGAGGGTGGAGTGCAGTCTTAACCTGGCAAGAGCACTTTGTAGAGAAAAGTTTTCACAAACATCTCTTCCCACTCCCCTCCACAATCTAACTCCTCTTTATTTTCCTGGATCCTGTTCTGGAACATCTTCTTTGTAAAGTCCATACATGGTGACCTAACCTTGGAATTTCCCATCTATTGTAGGGCAACTGTTATGTCTTTCTGGAAACCTGAATTTTAATATGTTGTTACATAAGGCTTTTATTTCTAATTAGAGAAACTATGGTGAAACCTCTAGTTATATTCAAGTACTCTCATCTTGCTTTTTATTTATATGAATTATGTATTTATTTGAAAGGCAGAGTTACAGAGAGAGATATTCAGAGAAGAGAGAAAGATAGAGATAGAGATACAGATAGAGATAGAGAGATAGATGAGAGAGAGAGAGAGAATGAATATCTTTCACCTACTGATTCACTCCCCCAAAAGGCTACAACAGCTGGGTCTGTGCCAGGCTGAAGCCAGGAGCCCAGAACTTCATCTGGACCTCCCATGTCGGTCTCATGGCCCTAAGCACTTGGCCCATCTTCTGCTGGTTGCACAGGCACTCTAGCAGGGAACTGGATCAGAAATAGGTAGCCAGAACTTAAACTTGGGATTCGAACCAGGGATCATTTGCAATGCCAGCTTCACAGGTGGTGGCTCAACACACTTCATCTTAACACCAGGCCCTCTCATTATTTATTTATTTATTTATTTATTTATTTTTTGACAGGCAGAGTGGACAGTGAGAGAGAGAGACAGTGAGAAAGGTCTTCCTTTGCTGTTGGTTCACCCTCCAATGGCCGCCACGGCTGGCACGCTGCGGCCGGCGCACCGCGCTGATCCGATGGCAGGAGCCAGGTACTTATCCTGGTACCCCATGGGGTGCAGGGCCCAAGCACTTGGGCCATCCTCCACTGCACTCCCTGGCCACAGCAGAGAGCTGGCCTGGAAGAGGGGCAACCGGGACAGAATCTGGCGCCCCGACCAGGACTAGAATCTGGTGTGCTGGCTCCGCAAGGCGGAGGATTAGCCTAGTGAGCCGCGGCGCCGGCCTGTCTCATCATATTTTGATATATAAAATTTAGAGATAACAGCATTAACATTCATTGAGCATGTATAATACATGTTTTAGAAATATTTTTCTCATATTGTCCCTCTTTCATATTTTTCCTCTTTTGCAGACAAGAGAACTGTGTCTCAGAGAAATTAACTTTCTTAAGGTGATCCAGAAAATATAGATAAAAGCCTGGTCTGGCTGATACCCAGATCTACTTGACTTAAAATTCCTGGTCTTTCTGTTGTACCATGATCTTTGAATTTTTCTACAAAATATTCCAAAGGTCAGAGGAGAGTGAACACGTTTCTCCAGGGAAGTCTGGGTGGCCCAAAAGGGCCCCACCACAAATACAAACATTCTTTGAAGTCTCATGTTTGATTGTAAAAATGCACACAGAATGTACATTCTATTCTTCAATGATTGTTTATTTTCATATAAACTGTTTAAAATTGTCACTCCAATTACCTATGCTCTCCCTGTCTGCATGCTCAAGCAAAATTGATCCTCTAGGGAAAGGCACTGTATTTTATGTTAAAATCTGCCCTTTCCTGAACCTCAAGCATACCACTCCAGTTTTGAAAACTCCAGCACACTCCAGCTGTTTGAGAAATAAAGTAGTAGGACATGTTGACATGTCATTCAGGATTTCAAATAAATCCTGAAAGCATTGTAACTGCTGACATGAAGGAACTGAAGAGACAGACACTATCAGAGTTGTTAAAGGGAATTTGGGAATAAAGAGAGTATTCCTACATCTATTTCTTAAACATTGACATGACAGTTATTAATACTATTATTGCTACTGGTGAAAATTGTTGATGACCATGTGTTGGGTAAACAATGTACCGGTGCTGAAATAATTTTGGGAAAGTGACATGGGGACATTCAGCTGTTCTTAATCTGGGGGCTATGAAGCACAGAATTTGTTTACCTACTTCTTTTAAAAAAATTTTATTTATTTATTTGGAAGGCAAAGAGGCAGAGAGGGAGGATAGAAAAAGAGGAAGAGAGAATCTTCCATCTGCGGTTCACTCCCCAGATGCGCACAACAGCCAGGGCTGGGACAGGCTAAAACTAGGAGCTAGGAACCCCATCCTAGTCTCCCATGTGGATAGCAGGGGCCCAAAGACTTGGGTTATCTTCCACTGCCCTTCTAGGTGCATTAGCAGGGAGATGCATTGAGAGCAAAGCCACCAGGGCTTGGATTGGCTCTCTGACATGGGATGCCAGCATCAAAAGTGGTGGCTTAACATGATGTGCCACAATGCCAGCCCCATGTATGCCTATCTCTGAAGAAGGGGAAGGCTTATAGATTTCATTAGATTCTCAAAGGAATCCAAGACCCACAAAGGTTAAGAACCTGTGCTGTAGAGAAAAGGACAAAGATCTGGAGATCATGCTGCGTTGTTTTCGAATGCTGGCTCTAGGCTTGCTCAATTGCACCATACATGTTGACTCGCTGACTCCGGGTTGTCATCTGTAAAATGAAAGTCACAATACCCATGTCACAGGCTTGTTGTGAGGAACAAATGAAGATCTTTTTGTTAAATGATTGACATAGGGTAGGTACTCATAACACATTAATCTCTTTCCTCTGCCATTTAACCTACAAGCAGGCAAACCATTTCTAACGGACTCTACAAGGGTACTTCAAACAGTTCATGGAAACATGGAATTAAAAATGAGTTTGTTGGGGTGTAAAATAATTTTGCAATCCATGCATATTTTTTCATAATATGTATCTTCCATGATCCATGAACTGTTTGAAGACTCCTCATATACTCTAGATAGAAATGCCTTCTGCAAAGACGTTCTGCCTAAGTCTTAGAACCCCAAGTAGAAATTTAGGCTGTTGGTAAATTTCCACAAAATATGCAAATATGTATTAAACTGGAACCTAAAAAGAAAAAGTTTCCCAAATCTGGATAATGTATGCACATGCACACACACACACACACACACACACATTCTGTTTGTAAACACAGAATTATTTAAATACTACCACATCCTGGCATGACTGGTTTCAAGTCTAAGCCTATATTATTGTCAGACCCAGGATGAAAAACTTCTTGAATTCAGCAAGAGATCTGATCCTCTTAAATGACATATGAAGCTGCTTTTACAGAGAGGGAGCCCTTGCTGATCCCACAGATTCACGAAGAAGGCTTGAAGGGGTTAAACTGGAAGGCTTACACAAACTTTGCTGAGGAGCCTCTCTTTTCTCCTCCCTCTGGAGGACTCCACACCGCTAAGGCAGAGCAGAGCTGAATCATTACCTTTCCCACATACTCTAAACTGTTGCCTGCCAAAGAGGAACTGGGGACTTAACCTTAATCAGGCTGCTTTCATTCAAGTGTTCCAGACGGTGCACACACATCCAGAGACTTTTCACTGCTCTTTGGGGCGTGGAAGAAGCAGGCATCTGAGACTGCACTCTGAAGCTGTAAGTGGCAACTGGCATTTTAAGTAACTAATAGAGGTCCTATTCTGTTTTTCTGGAAAGGACGGACTGTTTAGGAGGGGGAAAAGGCATAATTTGCATGAACTTACCTACCCCTGTTTCTTTGGCGAACCAAGATTTTATTCTGTTTTTCCAGATATTCCAGAGATGCCCCTGAACAAGTTGCCTGCTGGTGCAAGCTTCAGAAGGAATTCTTAACTGGCCAACCCAATTCATGCTGTAAGCCTGAAAAGGTAAGCGAGATTTGGAAATATTATGATGTTATTCATGGTAAAGTGAGCGGCATTGTTTTATTCAACGGCAGGTGTGATAAATAGGCACCATCTGCCGCAGAAGAGACAGCAACTCCCACTTGAGCGAGCTTATTACTTAATGGCTCCAGCCACTGAAGAAGCACTCGCTGCTGGGATTGTTTTTTCATAGGCTGCTGTGGAGCTGGATACTCTACAGGCTCTTACCTCCTTTAGTTTTCTCTCCTTGGGCTGAGCAGATAAATACAAATAGAACATGTTAACTCTTGAAAGCTATTGTAATTGATAGTTGTGACTTTCTTTTCTGAATTCTTCCACTGATCATTTTCCTTAGTTTTTGGTGGAATTTCAGCTCTGGAATTATGTAGGCAGGTGATGTGCAGAAAGATGTAAATGTAAAATTATCAACGAACTATTTTTATGTGCAGAATTTTATCATACTGGAGAAAAGCAGAAGTCATTATTAGGAGCATCTCAAGGACCAAAACACCGATTAGGGTGCCTTTATTTCTATATCCCCATCACTGACCAAAATATCTGGAGCGTGGTTGTCACTCAATAAAAGGTTTGCTGAATGAATGTGCGTCTGATTGTGGAGGCCTGTGGAGAACTTTGTTGCTTTTATTGGAAATAAGTTTTACTCGGGGAATCCCTTTTGAGGTTCATAGATGAAGAAAGCTCCACAATCCCTTCTCATTTTAAGGAGAAAAATTAATGATCTGAGAGTGTACGTTATTTTGCTGCTGTGAGGTTTTGTGTATTATGTGAATAACAAACATTAGAGAGGGTGTGGAATTTCCATGTTGATATAAAAAACAAAAGAAGTATAATTTTTAAAACTACAAATAGCTTTATTTACCAAGTTAATGACCAAGCATGCCATCTGAAAACCAAAGGTACATTCATATCACTTGTGGGCATTTTGATTTATGTTAGAAATGAAATAAAGCAGATGTTCAGATTAATGTTGGACTTTGGCCCATTAAGTTCATCTCTTTCCCTTGTCCCTTCCCCTAAACTTCTCTCCCTTTTTCCTTTCTTTCTCCCTTCCTTCCTGATATTTTCCCACTTCCCTTCCTTCTCTTTCTCTCTCACTCATTTCCTCCCACCTCTTATCTCCTTCTCACATCCTTGGTCTTCCTTACTCCTTGCATTGTTTTCTTTCTCTCCTCCCTCCCTTCCCTCATTCTCTGTCTCCATACCTTTCTTAATTCCTGACCATTCTTCCCATTCTTCATACTCCTCATCAGTCAACAGCTTTCAATTACTTCTACAAATACTAGAAACTCATTTTTATTAATTCTCCAAAAAAGACTGGAGCATACTAACATAATTTTATAAAGGTCCTCCTGTAAATATTAGATACCTGAGAATTAATAGAATTTTGGTTCCTATTGAAATTTCATGGTGATTTCTCTTTCTAAATGGTGCAAAGCTTTTAATGGAGAAATAACATTATCTAAGCACCTCATTAATTAGTTAGCATAGAGAGTCATGGCAATCATGTTTGGAAAGCTTTTATGACAAGTTGTCTCAGATATGGGACCAGAGTAACAAGTATTCCACAATACCTAACTTTTCATTTATCCATTTCAACGTACTTAATGGACTGAAGAAATTAAATTGATAGACATGTCTGAGTTGACCAAGCTGTTTTGTGTCCTGCAGTGCATTGAAGGCATAAGAAATGACCCATTAGTCAGTTTTCCAAAGACTCAAAGGAAACATTTAAAGAAATTGACAACTGTAGCTGAAATCATGGTTATCTAAATTTCTCCAAGCTAAAAAAAAATTCTCCAAGCTTCATAGAATTCTAACAAATATTCAGACCTTAGCAATATTCAGAGAGTGTCAATTGTTAAATCAACAACAGGAGTCACTGTGCACTTGCTCCCCATGTACGACCTCTGTCCTTAATGTGTTGTACTATGAGAATTAACGGTAAAACTAGTCTTCAAACAGTGCATTATACTGTGTGTGTCTGTGTGGGTACAAACTGTTGAAATCTTTACTTAGTATAGAGTTGATCTTCTGTATATAAAGATGATTAAGAATGAATCTTAATGAAGAATGGGATGGGAGAGGGAGTAGGAGATGTGATGGTTTGTGGGTGGGAGAGTGGTTACGAGGTGAAGAACCGCTATAATCCAAAAATTGTACTTTTGAAATTTATATCTATTAAATAAAAGTTTTCTATTAAACAAACAAAAAAATCTGTAGGCACAATTGGACTATCTAAAATTTAAATCTAAAATTTAATCCAGACCATGTAATTTTCCTTTAAAATTACATAATTTGTGGAGAGGGGAGGGCAGTGGAAGGGAGGGAAATTGGGGGGGGAAAGCCACAACAATACAAAAGTTGCACTTTGTAAATTCACATTTATTAAATAATAAAAAATCTATTCCTAAAAAATTACATAATTTAACAGTAATTCAAGAGTGAAATTTCTAATAATGCAATTATTCTTAATTCTAGATTATAATCTGTAATTTACTCTCTTTTACAAAATAAGAGATTGGGGTATGGAGAAAGGAGTAAAAATAAAATGGAGATGCAGGCTCTTCTCAAAATGGAGATGCAGGCTCTTCTCCAAGCTGTATTAGCGATTAGATCAGAGACAGGATTGTTCTTCTCGTTGAATTGTTAGTACTAAATGTGTTTCTTTGGTCATAGCCATGCATTTATTCAATAATTATTAACCAGCTACTTCAAGCACTGCTGAATAAAGGATGGAATGTTGAAAATAATTTCAAGTTTATAAATTAGAATTCAGGGGAAAGCACATCAAATAACTATCTACAATATTAGGAAAATGTAATTCTTCTAGAAGAGATACAAAGCATTGTGGGAATTAGGATTGGACTAGGCAATCAAGGGCCAGTTCATGAGTTGGACCTTGAAGAATGGTAGGTAGCATTTCCCCATGCAAAGATGTGTGAACAGGGCTGGCACTGTGGCTTAACAGATTAAGCCACTGTGTTAAGTCACCACTTGCAACTCCAATGATGGCATTCCATAATAGATTTCCAGTCCAAGTTATGGATGCTCCACTTCTGGCTTGTTGCTAATGCACCTGGGAAGGCAGCAGAAGATAACCCAAATGTGGGCCATTAACACCTATGTGGGAGACCAAGATGAAGTTTCTGGGTCCAGGCTTCAGCCTGACTCAGGCCTGGCTGTTGCAGTCATCTTGGTAGTGAACCAGCAGATGGAAAGATGGAAGATCCCGTCTCTCTCTCTCTCTCTCTCTCTCTCTCTCTCTCTCTCTCTCTCTCTTTCTTCTGCCTGTCACCCTACCTTTCAAATAAATAAACTTTTTAAAAAATATATGTATGAAGATAGAAAGAGCTGTTCAAACAAAAACATGGAGGCACAGAAGTAAGTGAGAGAGAGAGAAAGAGAGTTTTAAAGCTTATAATGTGGAAGTACAACAATGACTGAAAAACATTTCCTCAAGAGAGTACTTTAAAGCTTTAAGTGGCTTGCTTGTTGCAGAGATTGCAATGTCCTATCCTAATCTAGGAAACAGGGCAAAGGGCCTAGGAATCTGCATGTTAAATAAGCACTCTCTGGTGGTGATTTTGATGAAGGAACTTCCCTTGGCTCAAGCTGAGAAACATTGCCCCAAAGGGTTCCAAATCCCTGGGGCCTCAGTGTGGTTGCTCTGTGTATATTTGTTTCCTAGGACTGCCATAACAAAGTTGCACAAACTGAGTGGTTTGAAACAACATAAATTTATTCTCCCAGGTCTGGAGCCTAAAGTCTGGAATCAGGCAACAGCAGGGCTATGCATCTGCTGAAATCTGCCAGATAGAATCCTTCCCTGCCTCTTCTAGCCCCTGGTGTTTGCTGGCAAGCATTGGTGTTCCCTGGTTTGTAGATGTATCCCTCCAATCTCTGCCACCATCTTCTTTCTGCCTGTCTCTTGTCTTCTGTTCTTATAAAGAACACAGGTTATTGGATTGTGGCCAACCTAATGACCTCATTTTAACTTTACATCTGCAAAGACCTTATTTCCAAAGAAGGTCACATTCACAGATACTGGGCATGAGGACTTTGACATATCTTTTTGGATCACAGAATTCAATCCATAATGCTCTTAAACACTTATTCAGTAGGGCCTCCACACAAATAAGACACATTAGCTATGTTTTTTAGCTGGGCCTATCTAAACAGGAAAGACAATGGTTAACTCTCAAAGCTTGATGTACAAAGAATCACATTAAAAGCTTGTGTTTAGATGCATATACCTAGACATCAATGCAAGATGACCAAAGGTCAACACTGATGTACTTTTAAGTAAAACAAAAAGGTATCCTAGACCACTGTTCCCGAGATAGTAGAAAGAGACCCTATCTCTTTGCTCTTGTTTCTTGTGAACCAGGTAGCTCTGCTGCATGTAGGACAGCAAGTGGGTAGGCTGAGAAACATGTAGATTACAGGAAGTACAGTACCATGTGGTATGGAATACAAACTCTAAGCTGAAATGTACCCAGCCTAGGGGAAAAATGGATGCTAGTTCTGTTAACTCTCCTTGAGTATGTTACCAAGAGACAGAGGTAGGCTATGTTATCAATAATCTACCTGCATAAATGTAACAGGTAATACTTGTTTATTTTGTTGTAGTCACCCATATTCAAAATTCCTGTTTGGAATGACAAGCTACATCATTGTAGAAAGCTTCAACAGTAAATAGTTGATGTTATTTACACATTAGAATGTGCATGCCAATAAAAATAAGCTTCTGTCTGTACCAATCATGAAGGATTCTATTATTTGTTCAGAAGAGAAATGACCTCTCCATTCCTTCTGGCCTACAAATAATGGGACAATATATGTGTTCTCATCCAACATAGCTAAATGAGAATAGAGGACAAAAACAAAACTGGAGACAGCATGCATTCCTGAACATTCCATGACTCATTGAAGTAACAGCTGATACTAGGATCTGAAGATTGAAAAACAGATCCTTAAAGTTAAGTCTTCTTTCCTGGTGGTACTTAGTCCTGGCTGCCCATTAGAAGTATCTAGGAATGTTTTTTAAAAACTAGTAATGCTCTAAAATGATACCCATTGAAGTGAAATGGACACTATGAGAGACAATGACATGAGCAGCCCTTGTCTAGACTGTTGAAGAACAATTTACTATTTTATTCCTTTTAGTATTTTTGTTGTTGTTGTTGCTCTGTTTGTTCTACTTAATACCACTGGCTGAACTTTGTAATCAATACACAATCATTCTTAGGCGTTTAAAAATTAACAGAAAAGTGATCTCTGTTAAACATAGGAGTGGGAATAAGAGAGGGAGGAGATATATAGCTCTGCACAGGCTCACTCGGACTTACCTCCAATGGTGGAACTAGAAATGTGCCAGGGGATTTCAACTCAATCTTATCAAGGAGGCAGGTACCAATGCCAGCACACTTGGTAAAGTGATAAGTATAAATACACAACCAATCAAAAAGATAGGGTATGTGTCGATGAGATTTCACAAATAAGACTAGTGTAAGCAAATAACGAAGGATAGAATTAAAAGGGAGAGAATGATCCTGCGGGGGAAGCAGGACACACAGCAGACTCATAGAATGGCAAACGCCTGAAACAGCACTCTGGCCTCAGAATCAACCCTTGGGGCATTCGGATCTGGCTAAAAGGTCCATGAGTCTCACAGGCATGGAAAGCCATGACATGGTGGCAAAAACAATCTAAATGAAAGATCCTGGTGAACAAGACCCCAGCGGAAGGAACAGGCCATCAGGGAGGGAGGCGCCTTTCTCCGAAGAGAGGAAGGAACCTCCACTGTGATATGGCCTTGACTAAACAAGTTCTGAGTTGGTGAACTCAAGGGGCTTCCATAGCCTAGACAGCTCATGGCAAGAGTATCGGGTGATTGCTGACATCATAAATAAGAGTGTCAATTGTTAAATCAACAACAGGAGTCACTGGGTACATGCTCCCCATGTAGGGTCTCTGTCCTTAATGTGTTTTACTATGAAACTTAAAAACAACACTACTAGTCGAACAATGCCCTATACCTTGTGCGGTTGTGTGAGTGCAGCCTGTTGAAATCCTTGCTTAGTATATACTAAGTTGATCTTCTGTATATGAAGGTAATTGAAAATGAAACTTGATGAAGGGTGGGATGGGAGAGGGAGTGGGAGAGGGGAGGGTCGCTGGAGGGAGGGAGGGAGGTTGGGGTGGGGAAAGCCAGAACAATACAAAAGTTGCACTTTGTAAATTCACATTTGTTAAATAATAAAAAAAAAAAACTAGTAATGCTTAGTTGCATCCAAGACCATCAAATTCTGACTGTCTGGAGTGGTGTCTAAGCCCCTAGTGTAGAAATTAGAATTCACAAAGCTTAAGCTGGGGCCCAGGATCTGTATATCAATCAGTATGCTAGGTAAGTCTCATGATCGGTTCATCTGAAAAACACTGTTCTGCTCTAGTATAATTATTAGCTGCTGTTTAGTGCTTTGGATTTCTCTTTAACCTTTTTTTTTTTTTTTTTTTGGACAGGCAGAGTGGACAGTGAGAGAGAGACACAGAGAGAAAGGTCTTCCTTTTGCCGTTGGTTCACCCTCCAATGGCCGCCGCGGCCGGCGCGCTGCGACCGGCGCACTGCGCTGATCTGAAGCCAGGAGCCAGGTGCTTATCCTGGTCTCCCATGGGGTGCAGGGCCCAAGCACTTGGGCCATCCTCCATTGCACTCCCTGGCCACAGCAGAGAGCTGGTCTGGAAGAGGAGCAACCAGGACAGAATCCGGCGCCCTGACCGGGACTAGAACCCGGTGTGCCAGCGCCGCAAGGCGGAGGATTAGCCTAGTGAGCCACGGCGCTGGCTCACTTTAACCTTTTAATAGTATTTTTTCACATAAGAAAATATTCAAAGGTATAAAACGCAAGATATAATTTTACAACTAGTTTGCCCATAGCAAACTATTTTGCAGTTTATCGGTTCATTTTATACTCTCGAAATAAATTGCCATTTGTTTTCTTAGATATCTGAATCTTTGATTTCTGTTTCTGATTTTTAGGAAAATAAATCTGTTGAAGAATCTGAAAAGACCAACCTTCTCAGCTTAGGCCTGCTTCTGGCAGCACCTCCGAGACCTCCTCCATCTGAGAATTGCCAGGTCTGACAACACTCTCCCTCTGGCCTACAGGGAGGGAAGTCAAGAAAGCTGTAGAGAAATCATCCCCTCTAGACTGACAATTTTCAAGGTGTGCCACTGGGCAGGAACCCTACAATCTCCATCTTTAGGGAAGAATCAAAAAGACAGACAAGAGTGGTGAAATCTCAGGCATGCTGAGCCTGAAATACACACAGGCCTTTAGAAAGTCTCCTCACAGCAGAACCCAATTATCCCCACATAATTAGTCCACACATGTAAATGAGCTGGAGGTGAAACGGAGCCTTTTCTCCCTCTATCAGGAAAGAAAAAAGATCTGGAACAATACTCTCAGAGATTCTTGTTCCCAAACCAGTATTATAAAGCAGTTTCACTACATTTACTTTCATCAGCATAAGAGTAGGGGTGGGGGAAATAAAGATTTATTTACATTTTTAAAAATTGATTAAGACGTTTTGAGAAACCCTCTTTGGCAGCGTGCTGTGCAGGAAGACAGAGAGGGAGAGGCAACTGCCAAATTAGAACATCACTATTTTCTTGCTGTTGCACTACAGACTTAGCTCTGAGAGTGATCGGTTTGCATCAGGTTGTTAGAACACTTCCAGTATATTCAGAGACAGTCTCAGTGACTGTGGAATGCCTCAAGGACAATAAAAATCCGATAGAAAGAAGTTCCAACTCCAGTCTGAGTGATGACAGAGGTACATTTTAAGTACCATGGAAATCTCACCGGGCGAGCCCATTTTCCCACTCTGGCAACAGAGGTTGACACCACTTCAGACAAGTATTCCAACCTGTACATGTATGTGGGCTTATTCCTGAGCCTTCTGGCCATTCTTCTCATCCTGCTCTTCACGATGCTCCTTCGACTCAAACATGTCATCTCGCCCATCACCTCTGAGAGCACAGAAAGTGTTCCTCAGTTCACAGATGTGGAGATGCAGAGTAGAATCCCGACTCCTTAGAGCCAGGATGAGGTGAGCTGTAGTGGATCTCAGTGAACCCTTGGGTGTTGCTGTTCAGGAAAGCTCCCCCCAACCATTTTTTTTTGCATGAAGCATCCCATCTCAGGAATCAAAAAGTTATTCCTTTAACAATATGCTGTTCATATTTCCCTTGTGTTATTCTTCATCTTGACTCTGCTCATCAGATAGCTAAGAGGTTTAAGACTCATTCTTTGAAATACAGTAAATGACAGCTGGTTGTGAGGACAGGTTTACATAGTAACCAAGGAAAGCCTGGGCCTTGAGCAAACCTTAGACCACAGAAATTCATATACAGCTGTTGTAAAAAAAAAAAAAAATACGAGATCCTTGGAAGCTCTCGAACAAGGAGGATTTGTCTTTGAACAGCTGATGATGCCAAGAGAAGGAAAAGTTTCTGATTAGCACATCTACCCTAAGGAATCACCTGTGCTGACATGAAACTAAATCATGTCAAAGGTTAACAAAAGGGAGCACTAACTCCTTCCCAAAAAAGCAATGCTTTGATCCTCTTAGGCCAATGAGTTTGTTCCCAATGGAAGAAGAGGTTTAAAAAAACTGGTTCAATTTAAAGAGGAAGTTTGCAGAAGGAAGTTTATGATAAGCAAACTAATCAAGACAGGGAAAAAATGTGTCTATTATATCTGTATTATTACTATTACTGTACTCTAAAGAACTCAGATAATGGCAGATGTATAACTAAAATCTGCATGATGAGCTGCCGCCAAATCAAGGGAAAATGAAGTCAAAATGTGCAGCTTTGCTCTGCCCTCCCCCCATGCTCCAGGACTGAGCTCCACACAAATATGAGCTTTGTTTAAAAGTGGCTTTGACAAAGATACGACTGTACTTTCAAGCAGAAATGAAACGATCTTGGATTCTGTCATCAAATGATTGTGGCTTTGGACAAATTATTCAAGCTTTCTGGGTCCTAGGTTTTTCTTGTTGAAAAATGATCAGAGAGCTATTTGGTCACCAATAGACTCTTTTTGATCAGAGCATAAGAAAAAAAATAGAGAGAGACAAGGGAGGAGAGAACTAAACTATATCTTCAAAAAAATCCTTATGGACATCAATGTCCTCAAATGTCACATTTATCTTCCCTAGAAAATGCTCTTTCCTTCCTGATCCCTGCTAAAAATCAAGTGTTTCATTTATTAGCATCAGACAAATATATTTTGCAAATTTTCATTTTCAAAAGTAGCCCTAGTGTGCCAGTAGTGGAGAGAAACTTAAACTTTTCAAAATTAGCTTTCCAAAGGGAAACCAAAGAGGATGAGTGTCGTCTACAAATTAAAATTAGAAAGCTGGTCATATTCTTGCCACTGATGAACTAATACACTTGTGCTAAATTCTGCCTGTTAAAAAATAATAGGGCCTCCCTGCCCCTCAAAATTGGGCATCAAATTTCACAGGATGCTCCCTAGGGAACTCTAGTAGTAGTGAGAGACAAATGGAATAGATGTTAGGTTAATGCCACCTCCACCAGACATGCAGCTCTCTACAGTCTGTAACCAATTTAGACTGGCCCCTTTACTCTGGTCTAAATCTAGCTTGGTGTTGAAATTCCCAAGTGCTTTCCACTTTTGTACACAGTCATTTGCCAATGCTCCCCTCTCCAAGGGGCTGCAAAGTGTGAAATCCCAACTTGCAAAGCTAAACTTAGTAGCCAGGCTGACTCTGCCATACCTGGTAACAACTGTGCACTGTCAGAGATGGCAGCTGCATTCTGCACCATTCAGAGTAAATTAGCAGGTAGGCAGAGACCATGAGAGGGCATACAGTTCTCTTCTGGCTTTATATTTCCACAACATAGTGTGACTCTACTATTATTCCATCATGGTGATTTAAGTTGTGTCTTTATGTAACACTCAGATTTTACAGAGTCTGAGGTTCTTAAAATTTTAGCTCTTAGTAGCCATACGTGGATTTCATCAGAGATTAGCACTTATACCCCAGAACTTCTTAAAGACCCATATCTACCCTCATTCCTGGCTCTCCCTTTTGCACCCACAGTATTGAATGCACTTTACAGTTGAGAAGTCATGGCTGGATAAGTGAAGGAACTGATTATCATTTCAACAGCAGTGAATAGCAGGATATCCAATGTCGTGTTGCTGAATCGCATGAAGACTGACTGCAAATCCATTCCCTGCCCTCCTGACCTCCCCAACCTAAATTTCAAGATATTAAAACTGCTTTTGAAGCACTGGCTTAGATGAAGATTCCTAATTTCTGATCAGTTTACTCACCTGGAAAACAACAAGCCTCTTTCATCACAGCTACCCCATGGGATTCAGATCTTCACTGAACATTAACCAAAGCACACAGTATAGATTACACTAAAATAGCAGCATAGCCCCTCACAATTCCCAATGGTAACATAAATGGAGATGCATTTAAGCAGATGTGTCATGATGGTGACTCACATGGTATTTAATCTTTAGGAAAATACACTGAGTGTTGTCATCATCGCAAACTTACTGTAAAGAAAAGATTTTTCCATTTATATTAAATTATATTATATCCCTCAATGTATTACTTAACATATATTACTGCTCTAAGAGGCAGCTAGAGTAACCAGTGGGCACAATTTGAATATATCCTTCTATCTAAAATGCTGACTTGGCATTTTCCTACCCCAACCCTTCCCCAAAATTGCCCAGTATGCAAAGAGAAATGTTATTTACATGTAGATATACTCTGTTTTAAGATGAAAAAATGGTTCTTCACTTTTTAATACATTTAACCAAATAAAATTGTCATTTTTGAAGGTCAAAATCTCTCACATATCAGCAATTTCCTATCATTCAATCTAGTACCAAGATTCAGTACATGAATTCTTTAAATAGTAAACTCTACTAACATGGTTAAAAATAATTTGGTTTATAAAAATGTACTTCTCATACATTTCAGAATCATGGGTTGTATAAAGCAAGGTATATTGTGAAAGGCTATGTATTATGTATTAAGCAGCAAATATTAAGGTAATCAAGTAAAGATGGATTAATCTAGCCTAACCTTTCCATCCATGCCAAATCTGAAGCTGAGGACTCATAACTGGGTTTGATTGCTGCAGATCCCATTGTACTTACTAAGTAGCTACAAGGGGTCCATTTAATGCATTTAAATGGTTATATTTAGTAATACATTTTATTCAACTGCATTTGTACAAAAAAAGAACTTTTTTAACAAAATGAAGAATTGTGTGGAAGAAAAAAACTAAATTTCTTTCTTTTGAAATCATTAATATTTGCAATAGATTCATATTGTATAAAGACAGAAACATATGTGCATTAATATTTAGCATGTTATTTTTTATTCCTGAACAGTAAATGCTGTTTGTTTGCTGGTAACAAATATCTATTGTCTGAAACATGTAAAAAGCAATACATTACTCTTCATCACAATATAAATTGTAACAACTGCAAATTTGTGGTACTTATCATTTTGAGGTCTCATTATTTTTCCTTATTCCCTAATCTCCCAGTTTTTATTCTCTCCCCCATTGCAAACTGATTGTTGCATTTGTTTATTTTTTTTATTTAGTAGCAAGAAATGAAAAATGCATAACTGTCAGCTGCCATTGAGGTTAACCGAGGGGAGAGTGAGATGGCTTCTCAACTGCCAGTGGCTTTCACCATTCCCCACTCCCCAACCAGGTGGATTTTGTTTTTAGTGGATTTTCTATTTTGTACTGTCTTTAAGTGATCTTCACAGCAATGCTGTTAATGAATGGAGGTATGAGGAAGTCTGTTTTACAACAGAGGACACAGGCACAGCAAGATTCAGGAGGCATTCATGGTTACAAAGAGGCAGAGTGAACATAACACTGTTAAGTTTCTGTTTGCTCATTTAATGCCCATTCCATCATGCTTGCTTTCTGAAAGCTGAGTAGATATTGCAAATCTATCCATTCTGTAATACTCCAAGTTCTACAAACAACGATTGAGCTCTGTAGGTGATTGACACCTTATGTCTAATAATTCAAAACAAATAAATACAGTTCTGCCATCTCTTAAAATAATTGCATAGCTGCAGTGAGACACATTACCCAGATTATAGGGAAGTTTACGCAAAGATCCTGCAGCTTTAACTTATACAAATGAAGGTAAAGGGCAGAAGTATGAATGGACTATCAGCCACAATACAAACACCAATCTTCTGATATTTTATTTAATGTTCACAGTGACTGTTTCTTCTTCATATGTAAGATTGTTTTCTCTGCCCTTTCCTCCCTAGAAATGAGAACACCTCCTGTTAGGTAAAAATAATGTTTGTATTTAAAATTGTATAGTGCCTTAAAAGTACACAGCAACTCCAATTGTGCTCTATAATAGATGCTAGGACATCATGAGGGAAAAAGTTAACCACTAGAGAGGCTCCCTCTAGCCACAGAGAATGAATTGTATTTGCACAAAAAATGGAGAAAATTTGGAACATATGTAGATTAGGAAAAGAAAGCACATATAACAAATATTAGGTGAGAAGATTTTGAAGAATAACTTAAGCAATCCCAGGTATTACAATTCATGTTCTTTTTTTCTTTTTTAAAAGATTTATTTATTTATTTGAAAGTCAGAGTTACACAGAGAGAGGAGAAGCAAAGAGAGAGAGAGAGAGAGAGAGAGAGAGGAGAGAGATGGAGAGATCTTCCATCCCATGGTTCACTCCCCAATTGGCTGCAATGTCTGGAGCGGTGCCGATCCGAAGCCAGGAGCCAGGAGCTTCTTCTGGGTCTCCCATGCAGGTGCAGGGGCCCTAGGACTTGGGCCACCTTCTACTGCCTTCCCAGGCCATAACAGAGAGCTGGATCTGAAGTGGAGCAGCCAGGTCTCGAACCGGCACCCATATGGGATTCCAGCGCTTCAGGCCATGGTGTTAACCCGCTGCGCCACAGCACTGGCCCCTGCAATTCATTTTCATGTCAAGTATTTGTTGATTGAATCATACGTAGACATGGAGGAGAATGAGAGAAACAGATTACACAACATACTGGATTAGATTCTGTAATGATCTAAATTTTACAATCAAAAACTTACCATCTGGCAAAAATGATAAAAATGAAATCCATTCATTCAATAAACATTGATTCAGCTCACAGTCTTTGCCCTGGTGAAGGTTATAGCCTACTGAGATGGACAACAGCACTCAGATATTTGCAAGAATCCTGCATGATACATGAGGATAGGGTTCTTGTGTACATATAAAGTGGAAGGGATGCTGCCTGACCTGGCCTACAATGGAAGGGAAGACTTTACTGAGGAAATGATATCTAAGCTAAAATCCAATGGATGAATAAAGGGAAAGAGTAAGGCAAAGGCTCCATAGCAAGAAAGTGTGTGTGAAGGATCTGAGATCAAACATACTTGGCACACTTGATGAGCAGTGAGTAAACAGAAGGCAGCTCCAGAAGGCTGGGAAGGTTGACAGTGACTGGAACATCAGGGTTCTCTAGGCAATGCTATAGATTTTTAACTTTACAATAAGCATGGGGAAGAGAACCCTGGCAACAGTATAGAGGATGGATTCAAGAAGGGGAAGAGTACAGGGAAATCAGTTGAGAGGCTATGCAATGGTCCAGAAGAAAGATGATCATGCCTTAGATTTACCAACAATTAAGTGTTAGTGGGTAGGGATAAAGAAAAGTGGAGAGCTCTGAGAAAGATTTAGGAAATAAAACCAGCATTACTTGGTGATGAGTAGGAGAAGCAGTGAAAGTAAGAAAAGTAAAGTCTCAAATGACTTGTAGATCTCTGTTTGGAATTAGGAACTGGTGGTTCTATTCACTGACAGAAAACAAGGGGGAGAAATCAGGTCAAGGGTGACATGAATTCCATTTGGGACATGCTTAGCACAAAGTTCCTTTGAGACATCCAAATGCAGATGTTACGTAAGTACTTCAATATGTGGGTCTGGGACTCAGAAGACTGATTTGTGCTGAAGACACAAATTTGGGAGTTTTTAGTAGGTGAGATTGCCCAGGAAGGGATTGTAGAGTAGAGTGAAGAAAGAATGACAATAATGTAACATAGAATATGCCCAAATATGCTTCTCTTCTGATTTTGGAGGGTTAGTCACTTGTCAAGAAGGTTAGAAAAGAATATTAGGTTTAAGAGTTCTCAAACTAAGGCAGACTTGGAAGCAGAAGTAGAAGAGTGAATCAGAGCCAAAATCCTTGGGAGACAGGTAAGACTCCAGGATAGGACAACAAATACAATCAGTATGTACACAGGTTAGGATCAGGATCATAGATAAGAGAAATAGAGCAAATAGAAGCCAGAAGCCAATGTAACAATGAGGTATAGGTCAGGAAGTGGGTCCAGAGTGATTGCCATGAACAACAGTGAGTTGTAAATTACAAATATGAGGTTGTGTTGACCACGGTCCTAGCAGAAAACAGGTGACAACCTTAAAAAGGTGAAAAAGATATTTTAGTGGAGGGACTATTTATGAAGGGGTGGGCAGGATTGAGGCAACAAAATGTCCAGGACCTAGCAGCAGCAGGAAGTAGTACCAACAACCCTAGGCTTGCAGGGTGAAGGGGAAGAGGAGCTATGATTGGAATCTGAGCCTTGAGAAAGAAACCAACAATGTGGCCTTATTTAGAGAATAAATCCAATAGGGAGGGTCTGGTGCCATCGCAGCATAGCTGGTGGAGTCACCACCTGCAATACTAGCATCCCATGTAGGTGCCAGTTCCAGTCCTGGCTACTCCACCTCTGATCCAGCTCTCTTTTGGTGTACGTGGGAAGGCACAGAAGATGGCTCAGGTCTTTGGGCCCCTGCACCCATGTGGGAAATCTGGAAGAAGCCCCTGGCTTCGGATCAGCCCAGATCCTGCCATTGCAGCCATTTGGGGAGTGAACCAGCAGATGGAAGACTTCTCTTTCTCTCTCTCCGTCTCTACCTCTCTCTGTAACTCTGCCTTTCAAATGAATAAAATAAATCTTAAAAAAAAAAAGAAAGTCTCTCTTTGCCTCTCCCTCTCTCTCTGTAACTCTGCCTTTCAAATAAATACATAAATTAATCTTTAAAAAAAGTAGGGAACTGGAGGAAAAAATACCCTAAACACTTCCTCCTCTAATTTCCATTCTGCTGTATAAATGGAATCCATTTGGAAGCCAGAAAGCAAGCAAGCCCAGCTGATGAGCTTTGTAGAGGTCACCAATTCAAGTAAAGAGAGAGGTTTATGAATGGATATGATGGAGAAAACAGAGAATGTCCAACCAAGAAGTAAATAGGCATGTTGAGATGGCTTAAAAATCAGATTTGGGGTTTACTGGATAAGATTTTACCATTAAAGAGATAAAACACACTACATATTGTTTAAGTCTTATAATTCAGAGTCAAATCAAGAAGAAAAAAAAAGAAAGAAAAGAAAAACAAGATTGCCCTAGTCATTTCAAGTAGAGGTAGTCTAATACAAAGAATTGATAATGAATGCAATCAAAACAAATAGAGATGGGGCTGGCACAGTGGCGTAGTGGATAAAGCCACCACCTGCAGTGCCAGCACCCCAATTGGGCACTGGTTTGAGTCCCAGCTACTCCACTTCTGATCCAGCTCTCTGCTGTGGCCTGGGAAAGCAGTAGAAGATGGCCCAAGTCCTTGGGCCCCTGCACCCGTGTGGGAGACCTGGAAGAAGCTCCTGGCTCCTGGCTTAGGATCGGCACAGCTCCAGGCATTGCGGCCATCTGGGAAGTGAACCAGTGGATGGAAGACCTCTCTCTCTCTCTCTCTCTCCCTCTCTCTCTCTCTCTCTCTTTCTGCCTCTGCCTCTCTGTAACTCTGCCTTTCAAATAAATAAATAAAGATTTTTAACAAATAGGGATAGTGAAGCAGCCTAGAGATCAGCAAAAGCAGAAAGAGGCCACTAACCCTATGGTTCGAGTATAATGGGGGGAGGTGATATCACCAGAGCACAAAGCTGGGATCTTTTTTGTTTCTGAGAAATGAAGGGGTTACCTTATAGAATCTGAGACTCAATAGAAAGGGCTCTCTGATGGGAACTACAAATCATGGAGGAGAAAGGTTTTGAGCCATTTGTAGTAACGCTTGCTATGATTAGTTAACAATGTCTTCAGTGGTAGAAGAAAATAATGGAGACCTGCATATTACATATGCATTTTTGACTATGAACATGGATTTATTGCCTTAAATCTATACAGCATGGGGATATAAAGTATTAGTTTAAGACCTAGGGACAGAATTCCTTTCAGGAAAATTGTCTATCTGGTAAAGCACTGTAAAGGGCCATTTTAATTTAGAAAGATAACCCACAGGCAGCTCAGTTGGACTAGAAGCAAAAAAAGTACAGATAAACTATGACATCAGAAATGAACAGGCATTTGGAGACTGTTGGACATGAACCATGGATGAAAGTAAAGAGTACAAAGTAGAGAGGGGCCTAGCAATAGGGAAGGATAAGA